GTTTTAACGTTTTCAACACAATACACTGATGTAGGTCAACAATCGTGGTCTTTAATGTGATTGTGGACATTGAATACCGTCGGGTTATCATAATACAGATAATCCTTTGGCGCGCCTTAAGGGGTCGTGTAAAAGTTTGTTCTCGAATCCAAAGGCGTCTGCCTGGCGCCTTTAGAGGGATCGGTGACACGTATCACGTCTCTCCTAATGTGCATTATGTGTACCGGCTATGATAAACAAAGAGCGCCCATTATCTCTGCGTTATACAATGATCTCAGATCATCCGAAACGTGTGGAAATCAATTAACCGCCATCATTTTTGTTGGTTTTTTGTTTGGTTTATGATTGAATACAAAGTAATTATTCGATACGTTATCTAACAAACACTCACAGTAAATGTCTAACAATTTCATCAACGCAGCGTTCAAGACTTTCCCCCACCTTTCTCCCTTCTGCCACAATTTCAAATTGCTTATCTGTCCCGAAGACATCATCAGCGAGCAAACGAGATGTACGTTATATTTGATGTGACGTCACACTACAGGTGAATCACGGATGATCGCTTGCCTGATCACTTTCTTTTGGGATTTTCCGGATAGGCAAAGAGGATGAGTATAACTAAAAGAAAAAGAAATCTAATCTCGCCAACTTAACGGAACGTCGCGTTTTTGCATAATATTTTTTCGGTAATTCCGTGCGCTGATTAATGACATCATATTATATCCGTCGACGACGACGGCTTGTGTTGACATAATCCGAAAATCAAGTTCAGCCTTCCGAAACGAACAGTGTTGTCTTATTATTCTTATTAAGTTGTTGCGCTTCCTCGTCTATCATGGAACTTCTTAGCCCTAAAGTATCAAGAAAAATGATCTGCTTAGTATTGAATTTCGACCATTTTGTATTGTTTGTGCTATGTGGAATGTGTTTTAGCGTCTATTTTCGTTTCCGTGGCACGACAAATAAGTTTTCAACCATATCTAAAACAAAAAAATGTTTTGATCTTTTTTTGAACATTTTCCAAACAATAACCTGAAATCGGAAGCGCGTCAAAGATAGGATCCTCTCGAATACTCCTGAAGTGTGTTCAATAATAATATATCGTTTGACGTTGGTGATCAAAGGATATTACAATACTGAAGAATTGTCTTTTTTTATTTATTCTATTTTTTTTTTGCTGGAATTCATTTTTTTTAACTGCATCGATGTGCTGCGGTCGCTTCCATTAAAAACGCGCCTGGAAGTGTCGTCCGTGAGCTTCTGAGAAGATTCTTTTTTTTTTTGTTCCTATGCTACTCGAGTCGCTCGAGGGTACTATAATAATGTATATTAAAACTTCCAACGGAGAGCTGATGATCAGCGATAAATTATGGGCGTGTTGCGACGGGTGTCTGCTATTGTCAAGCGACTTTTACAGCACACTTTCGACGAGTATCCTTTTACAGCGAGTCTTAAGTGCGCGTATCTGGAATATATTATTATGTACATATTTAATACCGGTAGTTTCGAATTTTTCGCATTTAATTTCTCACACTCATCGCTGGATTTCATTGTCATCATGCATCATTACAAAATATAATTCTGGGGACCGCTCAAGTATTCGTTATTTTACATTTTATTTTCCAGTTAGTCACATAATATCAATTTTTTCCTCTTTTCCGTTGTTTGACGTTAAAATATTATGCGACTTGGATGGATTCCCTCGCGGTTCAATTATAGTCGTACAAAACAAGCAGCCTCGTTTGTCGGATGGATAGTTTTGCAAAAAGCACCCTCTGCCAACGTACAAGGCTCGTCAAACCGGGTGCGATTTGTATTACTTTTTTTTTTTAAGAAAATAACAACTTTGCCGAGACGCTAGAAGGGCGTGGAACGCGTGCTGCAATGTCACATTTAAGAAAACCTGTCAAATCCAGGTGCTGAAAATTGATCACAAAACCGACGGTCTGCCAACTGATTTGTACGTTAATTCAAGACCTCGTGGGCAATGTAAGCCTTACAAATTCGGCGTGCCAGCAATTAGTGACGAATAATTTATTGTCTCGTTTTCTCCGGTACTTGTTTGTACGACACAGTGTAAACGAGGCCGTGTATATTTTGTATATTGTCCGAGACGTATGGGCATAGCCGACATTCCGTTTTCTTAAAATAGAAACGAATAAAAATGACGTTACTCACCCTGGACACGACCACGTGCAGTCCTCCCTTTCCGCGCCACGTGTACCGTCAAGGCCGTGATGTGTTTAAGTACTAAAAAAAACATCAAAGCGTGAATAAGACTACTACTAAAAAAAAAAATCCGTTTTTAGATCCTGATATTTAGACCACTTAAAAAAAAAATGTAAAAGACCAATATGCGTTTTTGTTGTTATGTGACATTGTCAACCGGTCTCCGTGGCATCCCCCAAAATGACTATGCTAATAGTGTGTGTGTGTGTGCACGAGACACGTTAAAAGACCCTCGGTATAAAAATTAGAAGTAGTGGTGGATGCGTTCGATTTTTGAAAGTGTCATTTATTATAGTAATTGATATCGAATTTTCGGCGGTGGGCATTTTTGTGAGTTCGTAGCCCGGTTAGATCGCGAGGGCACTTCACTCGGTAGTGTAGTTACGATGACGCACTATGACAGGTCTCGCAAAAAGTTTCTACTATTTAATACACGAGACGAAACGGTGGTGACTTTATTAGCTTAAGCCTCGCCGAATCCGTACTAAAGACGTGAAACGATGGGAAGAGAATACACACACAAAAAAAAAAGGCAGCAAAATGCGGCGGTGGATGGTTAATCAACCAGAACACGTCGAACAAGTCGGGCGGAAGGGCCCGATAAAAATTATGATATGTACGAAAAATGCTCTTCTTCTCTCTCCTTCACCTCTCCTAAAAAATACAAAAAGGGACATACATCCAGCTCTGTGGGCGGGTATATTGTATAGTGCTATGTTATCCTCTGTCTTGTTGTCCTGCCGATGACGTCTGTCGCCCGCTCGTAATGCGATACTACGGCTGGTCGAACCCGGTAGGAATCAAGTTTCGAAAACATTTTTTTCCCTTTAGTACAACAGCATCGTGCAGGCATTACGAGTCATACAGCAAGCGCACCCACCCAAAAAAAAAATGGTAAGACTGAAAAACTTTTACACCTCCGCGCACACAGGTTTGTGGCGTTTTCCAAAAATTATTACTTCATTTCACCAAGTTAGTATTTTATTTCTTTGGTTTTACAAAATGCGCGACCTTTTCGAGTAAAAGTTTAGCCGCAGGAAAAATGATTACACGGACAAAACGGTTTAATTTGTCCAATAGTTTTGCCGGGTGTTCGTTAAATACCTTTTGAACTAGTTTCCGGTAGGGGAACAACGTGTCTAGTCAGGAGAAAAACGCTCTTCAAATGCTGCTCCCCGACGGCAGCCGTCAAGTATTATATTATATTATTCAAAAGGGTCGATGACAACAACCGAGATCCTATTAACATTCAATTTTGTAGTGTTATTAAGCAGATAATTAAAAATTTCCATTTTGTATAGTTAAATTTCAAACTTGAGCACCAGTTTAAGCTGATTCCAATCAATTGTAAATCTTTCATCCAGTTGTCGAGGACGACGATAAACAATGGCTTCGAACCCACATTGTGTAGTTTCAAACTTCAAGATCTTAAATATAACGTCTTAGCAAAGTTATCATTTTTAGAGAAGAAAATTAATCGCACCTACGCCATTGAATAAGACTCGATTCGGAAACTTAAGTCTATGTGCCCCATCACAACGACTAGCATCTAAATACTTAAGCAGAGAGGATCTAAGGTGTAAGAGATCTAGACGGTGTGTTATCATGCTCGATGTTGATTTTAGATTGTCTCGGCCACCGTGGATAATCTTTTGGTCGACCTTTCCCTCAAGTGTTTGCGTTCTTCTGGTGTGTAATTTAAGTCGCTGACGGACGCATGACTAATGTTTTGCGGTTGTCCGGTTGGCATATAAAACATGTGCGGTCGTCCGGCAGCACTGCTGAAATGCTTTCGAGATAATAATAATAATTATTTTTGTTGTTATGAATTACAATGACAAGCGAAATATGCGGTGTCGGTCGTTGTTTTACCTACCGCAGACAACAGCAATAATAATTATACTAGCACTAATGTAAACCTTCCTTCTGTACACCGTCGTCTGAGATTTACAATATAGCATAAACGTGCGAAGGATCGTAAAATCAACGACTAAAATGGTCGGGTCAACACAATCAGACAGCGTATATAACGTTATGTTGATTGGTACACGGTGCACTAGTACAATGGTGTCTCATGTTTTACCTAATCGTTTATTTTTAAACAATAATTTTCTACTGTCGATGATTGTAAGTAGAGATTACAGTTTGATAGATTAGTATATACTAAACCGACCACAGTCGACCAGTCTGACCCTGCACCGGTATGTGAAAAATGTGAGTTTTTTAAAAAAAAATAAACCTATGAATCAATTCCAAAAGTCAGCACTGCGCGTTATCAGTCGAAAATCTATCGTTATTTCTGATGCGATAAGAGATAACGCAACACAAGAGATGATGGAGTCGGACCGATTTCATTCATTTTTTTTTGTTTGTTAACACAAGACTAATGGTCCATATATAACGAGGATGCACTGAACACACGAGCGTACCTTTACACAATACGGCAGCTAGTGTTGCATAAATATTCATATGGCCATTGTCGACGACGACAACGCTGTAAGTGCGCACCATAAATATTAATATGGCAACAAAAACAATAATAATAATAACGATAATGCTGACATATTATTTGACGCGTTATTTTGTGTGCTCATACCAGTGTACATTGGTTTGCTTTGGATGGAATTATTTACGATCCATTAAATGTGGTGTATCCGGGTTGTCGCGCCACCGTGTTGGTTTTTTATTTTTTATTATCTATTCGGAATATAATAATATGGTATGTGTTCCAAGACAGTGGTGATATTAATGTTTTATTCGTTTGCTTACAGCGAGAGTGGTTGCAGAGGGATGTGGACAGAGAAAGGCGTTTGCGGTTGGACACTGAGGCCAGACTCAAAGGTACCAGTTGCGAGGCGGACCGATGCCGGGCCAAGTTGTCATCTTTGCAGAGAGACTTCTCCAAGTAAGTATCCAGCCAGTCATATTAAGGTTGCTTAATAAGAGCGTGGGCGGCAAAAATGATAAGTACAAAAGTTTCAAGTACACAACATCACGACCCCGGAGAATGCATTCGCTCGTTTGCGGTTGTTTAAAAAACGTATTCATCATGGTTTATAATTTGATACTGTTACACATTATGTTATAAATATTTTTACTTTCTACGACAAGATTGGTATTTCGAACCGTATCGGCGTCAGATTGGAGGCATCGGTGAAACGCTTCGGTGTGTTGTTTATTAACAGCAGTGATAATAACTTATCGGGGGCAAGTGTTTCGTCGGATTCGGGTTTCCTTTGTTCTGTTTAAAAAGCGCCAATATTCGCTCGGCTTTTTATTCGACACAAAGACACGGTTTTCCCATTAAATAGGAATATACGCCTTGGCTTTTTTTCATTTGGGATTTGCACGCGACCATTTGTGCTTTCGGCCTAGGATTTCGGGAAAAAACCCAAGACCGCCCCGGTGGACTTTTTCTGGCGCCTTTTCTAACAATCCTTGAGGGGGGACGTTTCCAGAGGATTTTCAACCGCACGAATATTATCAACGCGGTGCGGGCACAAAGCCAACCCCGTAGTCGCCCGCATAGGACAGCCGTGATAAATCGAGCACCTCTTTTACACTTTTCGCCAGACTTAATAATAATTATTACCGTCGCAGCAGACAGAGACAAAGCGAGCTGATAGATGGGACGTGCAGCTAAGGTAATCCTGGTGATGGTCAGCCGCCGGTCGTTTAGAAGGGGAAAAAAGAAAGACTTTGGGCGCCCGTACTTATACTTGTACTTTATGTCTTTCGATAGTCACCGTGTACCGAGCAAAATCCGTTTTAAACCTTATCTTCTGCTCCTGCTAGTTTTTATCGGACGATCGCCCGCAAAACCGTCCGAGAATTTACATAATTATTGTCTCTGCCGCGTTTTCCCTAAAACGGCAACGCTGCTGCCGATTCCGTTTAAATCCACCTCACCTCCTCCCCAAACTCCGTTTATAAAGATAAAACTGATCTCGACTTCCACAACCGACTGTCGTTCTAATCCAATAGTAAAATATGCCAAACGACTGCACCGTTGAATTTGATTAAATTTCGGCCGGCGCGATAAAACGCGTACAAGTGCAGATTTGTTGAATCGTTTAGCCGTGTGAGAACTCTGATAAGGCCAGCATTGGTCTGATACGGGACTTAATAACCAATTGTGGGGGTCTAGAGTAAAAACCATATAATGTCCTGTACTCGGCAACGAGGCAATCCAAAAGGCGAGCGACAGTGTGATAATCCTTATCGACTCTATTTTACTTACTGCGACCACCCGATCCAGGCTATATGTACATTAGTCTGCCAGAGAACTCCATCCGATTATGTCCATACCTAGATTATATTATACTAAAATCTAAGCCAAGGTAACTATGTAAACCCCGCTTTGGTCAATTCGAATTCTGATAAATAGCGTGTGCGGCAACAACTCAAAACTGGCACTTGACACGTTGTATAAAATTCAAGTCCTCTATTGCACATGTTGTGACCCTTCATTCTTAACACCGAACTGCACGGTTTTGCTACTGTAAAAGTGTTTAAACTTCAATTCAAATAGTCAATGCTGACGATAGTAAATCTCTGACGGCGCCGCGTTCTGACTATCGATCAATCCTACACCGGCTATTGTCCTCCGTTTTTGGTATTGCACCACAACAACAAGCATCCTAAACCGTAGAGCGGCACGTTTATACAGTACTTATAGAGAAACGGTTTGTCACGCCTTTATTTTTAGATAAAAAAATATTACATAAATTAACAATATCAAAAAAAAAAACACCGCATTGTTTGAATAAATTAACGAGCGGGTTCGTCGACACGTGTTGTGGGGTGTCACAACCGGTGATTTAGTAGATGTAAGTAGGAGGTGTGTACATAATAAGTGCGCTTAACGGTGGTTTGGAGCACCTGGCAGCTGCCGCCGTTTACCGTGCTGTTCGACGGTGGAAAACAAAAGTAAAGAAAAACCATTAGCCATATATATACCGACGAAATCTCAATTAAAACGTTTACATAAATCTCGCGGTTTTACACCTTTCCGCCGGGTGTGTGGGTGGCAAGCACAACGGCTCATTCTCTCATCTGCCGTCTGCGTGCACTGCAATAGTATGAACAATTATAATAATAATAATAATTTCGGAGCAATGCGAAAATTCCCCATAGTCGCCTGGCGCGCCTTGAATATTAATTATACGGCATTTTGCCACAACCCCTTTCTCGTCCACACAGCCCTTTGGGGATATTTTCACGGGGCAAAGGTCCTCGGCACGGGCCATTTATTCGGCGGCGAAAACCTACTCTCTCCAAAGCGTTATCCACCGGAAAATTCTAATCGTCGCCTTCACATTCACATTTCGGTTTCTTCCTTTTTTCATTTTTTTTGAGACGAAGGTGGGTGAAATACGGTGACCGGTAAGTAATTATTTCTAGGCATACGTGGAGATTATACTGGGCAGCATCACCCGGCTAGGAAATGAATCAATTATTTTTTTTCCAATGTTTTTAGGTATAAAACGCACACAAACACACACACACGGGACACTAAATCTCCAGTCGTTAGAGAGGTGTGTGTGTGTGTGTGTGTAATGTATAAATAATAAACGTCTGCCGTAGACGTCTGTTTTGAATATGTGTATTATGATGCTGCCTGCCCACCAAAATATTATTATTATGCCCAGAAATAGAAAATATACAGTTGACGGGGGCGAAAAGGGGCTTCTCGGAGGAGGGCCAAGCGAGAACCGTCGTGTGGTACACCTATAAAGCTGCGACAGACGGCTGGAAGGGCGTACACCATTAAATTTATATATTATTATTATCAACAGCCGCTGTGTTAGCTATTTTTCTCGAACAGCACCGACCGCCGAGTAGACACTGACAAGTATACACCGTTGTACATGCGTTTTAATAGTAAGGTTTAAGTTAACACCACTGTCGTTGCTGTATTTCATTTGCCAAAATATTTGCACAAACTCTTTTAAACCGTCGCTCCGTGTTAGTACAGCTGTTGTTAACCGGATCTCTTATTGTTTACTAGAATTTAGCGCGTAGTTCGTTCATTGTTTCCCAACACCTGCACAGTTGTCGAACAAAATTCATTAAATTAATGCATTTAAAGAGTGTAAAAAAAACAAATTGTCACTGGTTGGCTCGTCACTTTTAAAGACTATAATATTTCCTTTTATATATGAATCTACAGAACCCGACCGGAGCAGTCTCTTCAGGGCAAGGGTATTTGTGATAAAGGTTTTGAATAAAAGAAAACCCAACTACTGTTATTACTTCTTTGGAGTCTTTTTTTTTTTTGCTCGATCAGACTTTAGAATTGTTTTAGCACAACTAGTTTTAAAAAAACGCCTTTAATATTTTAAATAACTCGTAGTTATTTTCAGTATGTTTATTTTGGTCCTTACACCAATTAAAAAACAGCAAGGTCCCACCGTAGTTAACCTACCGTTAAGGCTTCGATCGACAGTTGTTAATTTGGGTGTTTCGAAAACGATGTTAACCACATTGATAGGACTTTCGCTTCCGACATTGGCCTTTTATTTTTTCCAAAGTGCGGTCGCTGTGGATTGTCAGTTGTCCCTTCGCCCTTCAAACGGAGACTCTCTAAGACAATAAAAACGCGTCTCCTAGGATAATGTCGTGTAGACGTTACCGGCAGCGGTGGTCTGCCTACCATTACACCGGGAAAACCGGTGCTAGGATAATGGCAGCGCAAAAGCAAATAGGTCCCCCGGATATCGACTTCCGGCACCCTCGTTCGAGTGCAAGACATAATATTTTATTGCGTTTCTTCTTTTCACGGCCACGGTTTTGTTGAGGGTCGGCCCGAAGTTCGCGTTTCCACCCCGCCACCATCAACGTCTTGGCGGTGTTTACCGGCATCTTATTTCGTACGCCGGTCGTTTGTTATATACTCGCCCGCCAGTGCACAAACACAAGCCTAAACGATTACAGTCCACCATCTGTTGTATAAAAGTCCTTCCGGATATGTAATTGCCGTCACGTTGTACATACAAATAACATGTAGTAGGTAATTGCTTTCGAACCCGGCCACCGTATTGCCACTGCCACTAATCCGCCTACCCAAAAAAATATATAAAACTTGTACCCATAAATGTTTTTTTTTATTATTACTTACTAGGCGAGAAATCATTAATCACAACGTCATGTTACCGTGTTGTGGGTTTATTGAGTTAATATGATGACTCGACCTAACCTGACCCAGTAGAATACCACATCAGCTATGAGAAGATATTATTAAAGAAGTAAATTCTATTCTAAGTGACACTTTTTGCATGATACATACGATAGTTAACAGATGGCTATTTATAATAATAACAATTATGTTTATTTCTAATAACAATAATATACAATATAATTTTGACATTTGTTGGTTACCTACAAAGCCAATAGGCTGTGCCGGATATTAAATGAGTCTAATTAATGAAAACTGATAGCAAAATTACATTATACCCTTAAATAATTACCCAGTAACATTGTGTAAAGAATAATCAAGTGAAATTGTATACAACCGAAAAGCATTAACGATAACTTTATGAGACGTGAAAAAATATATAAAAAAAAGTAAAGTCTTCACAACAAATAAAATAACATTTATTCAATGTTAATCGTGCCAAGTCAAAAGCGATTGATTACTATACACTGTCTAATTAAGTTGCATATTTAAGAGGGGCGGGATAGATGCCCATTTAATGTAACTCAATCAAGATAAATTTTAAACAATGATAATTTATTTTCTTCGGCCATTTCACTCCTTAGCTCAAGAACAGGGGGTAAGGGAGGGATCTATATCCCATATCCCAATGACGAATAAGGCGTTGTTTACGCTTAATATTCAATTTAAAGTACAACATGATAATATATTCTGTTTTGTTAACGATGCCTTTTCGAGCTGACACCCGC